GACTATAATTTATGGATGAGCCGATCAGAAGTGTTTGAGGGATTTCAAGGTCACAGCGCCGAGTTCAATACCTCATGCTCATGTACTATCGGTTCACAAAGAATTTAATAGAAGACTTGACAATTAAGTGGCTACAACAAATGAGACTATTAAGAAGTTCCTGTATTTGTGATTACGAGTATTAAATGACTTGTAGACTTTGTACAGCCTAACGTGATGTTAACCTTCGATGTAATATATGTTGAAGGAAGACGTTTGCTAGAATAAGAATCTTTATTGCTCTATCCAGATTGAGAATCAGACATATTATAATAATCGCCGCCAAATGTATAATAAAAGCACCAGTAACATTGGTTACAATGATCGCAGATGTTACTGAAGCTTCGGCTGTTCAGTGGTATGAGTATTGTAGGGACATATCCATAATAAAAATGATAAAATTACACAACCGTAGTACACACAAACAATAATGAAGCTATGTGGTCGAGGCTGAGGTTCCAGACTTACTTACTTACGCCTGTTACCCCTCGTCGAGGAGCATAGGCCGCTCACCAGCATTCTCCATCCAACTCTGTCCTGAGCCTTACTTTCCAGTTCTTTCCAGTTGCTATTCATCCTTTTCATATCGGCTTCTATTTCCCGGCGTAGTGTGTTCTTTGGCCTTCCTCTTTTCCGCTTCCCTTCCGGAGTCCAAGTTAGGGATTGAGTCGTGATGCACATTGGTGATTTCCTTAATGTATGTCCGATCCACTTCCAACGTCTTTTCCTTATTTCCTCTTCAGCTGGAAGCTGGTTTGTCCTCTCCCATAAAACGCTGTTGCTGATAGTATCCGGCCAATGGATGTTGAGTATTTTGCGTAGACAACTGTTTATAAATACTTGTACCTTCCTGATGATGGCCGTAGTAGTTCTCCACGTTTCAGTTCCGTACAGTAGGACTGTCTTGACGTTCGTATTAAAGATTCTGACCTTGAAATTGGTTGAGAGTTGTTTTGAGTTCCATATGTTTTGCAATTGTAGAAATGCTGCCCTTGCTTTGCCAATCCTTGCCTTTACATCTGCATCCGATCCTCCTTGTTTATCAACGATGCTCCCCAGGTACTTGAATGTTTCCACCTCTTCCAGAGTTTCGCCATCAAGTGTGATTGGGTTGGTGTTCTCCGTGTTGCATTTGAGAATCTTGCTTTTTCCTTTGTGAATGTGGAGGCCTATCGATGCGGAGGCTGCTGCTACATTTGCTGTCTTCATCTGCATTTGGTCGTGTGTATGAGAGAGGAGGGCTAGGTCATCTGCGAAGTCCAAATCATCTAATTGATTCTGAGAAGTCCATTGTATTCCGTATTTCCCTTCAGATGTCGAATTCTTCATAATCCAGTCAATCACTAGAAGGAAGAGGAATGGGGAGAGTAGACAGCCTTGTCTGACTCCGGTCCTTACTGGAAATGCATCTGTCAGCTGCCCTCCATGCACCACTTTGCACTGTAGTCCATCGTATGAGTTTTGGATAATGTTGACGATCTTCTGAGGAACTCCATAGTGTCGAAGAAGTTTCCACAATGTTCTCCTATCCACGCTGTCAAACGCCTTCTCATAGTCGATGAAGTTGACGTATAGTGATGAGTTCCACTCAACTGATTGTTCAACGATGATCCGTAGTGTCGCAATCTGGTCTGTGCACGACCGATCCTTACGGAATCCAGCCTGATGATCCCTAAGTTCGGCGTCTACTGTGTCTTTCATCCGATTCAGCAGCACTCTGTTGAAAACTTTTCCTGGTACTGATAACAAACTGATACCTCTGTAGTTCTCACATTGGCTCAGATCTCCTTTCTTTGGTATCTTAATGAGATATCCTTCTTTCCAGTCCGTTGGCACTTGTTCCTCTTCCCAAATCTTTTTGAATAGAAGGTGAAGCATGTTTGCAGTTATTTCAATGTCTGACTTCAGTGCTTCTGCTGGTATATTGTCAGGTCCTGCCGCCTTCCCACTTTTGATTTGTCTGATGGCCATCTTGACTTCTTCGATCGTTGGTGGAGTGACATCTATTGGAAGGTCTGTGTGGGCTGCTTCGATGTTCGGTGGATTCGATGGGGCTGGTCTATTCAGCAGTTCCTCAAAGTATTCTGCCCATCTTTTCATCTGTTCCTGAATCTCAGTGATTGTCTTTCCTTCTTTGTCTTTGACTGGTCTCTCTGGTTTGCTATATCTCCCTGCCAATTTCTTCGTTGTATCATATAGTTGTTTCATATTCCCTTCTCTTGCAGCTTTTTCCGCCGCCGTTGCTAGTTCTCCCATGTATTTCTGCTTGTCGGCTTTAATGCTTTTTTTCACTTCTCTGTTTGCTTCTGCGTAGTCTGCTTGTGCTTTGACTTTCTCTGCTCGTGTTCGGCTGTTGTTAATTGCTAGTTTCTTGTTCTTCCTTTCTTGAAGTTTGTCCAGGGTTCCCATAGAGATCCATTCCTTGTGATGGTGCTTCTTAGGACCAAGAACCTGATGACACGTTGAAGTTAGTGCTTCTTTTATCCCTTTCCAGTTGTCCTCCAAAGTAGTTTCTTGTTCTTTCAGTAGATGCTGTAGAGCTTGGAACCTGTTGTTGAGAGTTATCTTGAATTCATGGAGCTTGTCAGCATCTCGAAGGAAGGCTGTATTGAACCTTTGTAGTGCTGTTTGTCCAGTTGTCCAGTCTTTCTTTAGCTTCAGTCTCATCTTGGCCACAACCAGGTGGTGATCTGAAGCTATGTCAGCTCCTCTCCGGGTTCTCACATCTTCCATTGATCTTCGGAATTTTTTGTTGATACAGATGTGATCAATCTGGTTCTCTGTGGTGTGGTCCGGGGAGATCCATGTAGCTTTGTGTATGCGTTTGTGTGGGAATATTGTGCCGCCTATAACCAATTTGTTGAAAGCACATAGGTTTGCAAATCTCTCCCCATTTTCATTTCTCTCTCCTAGTCCATGTCGTCCAATTACATCTTCATATCCTGTGTTGTCCACTCCAACTTTAGCATTTAGATCTCCCATAAGGATGGTGAGGTCCTTTCGTGAGCACTTCTCTATAATTGATTGCAGCCTTTCATAGAACTGATCTTTATCATCGTCGTTGCTATCATTGGTGGGTGCATAACATTGGATAACATTCATTGTGATGCCCTCCTTCTTTGTTCTGAATGATGCTTTGATTATCCTGGGTCCATGAGATTCCCATCCCATAAGTGCATTTCGTGCTTCTTTGGACAGCATTAGAGCAACTCCCTGAGTGTGTGGCGCATTTTCCCCTTCGTGACCGGAGTACAGCAGCATCTCTCCTGTACCTAGCCTTTGTTGTCCAGTTTGTGTCCAATGGGTTTCGCTGATTCCGAGTACTGCCAAGTTGTATCTCCTCATTTCCATTGCTATTTGGCTGGTCTTTCCTGTTTCCCACATTGTCCGGACGTTCCATGTACCTATAAAGAGTGTTGCTCTGGTTGTTAGAAGGTGCATCGGTCTCGTGACTTCCGAAGAATTTCGGCTTTCATCATGAGACGTCATTATTCCTTCAACTCCCAGGGCAGAGTTTAAATGGTTTGGATTATTTTTTCTGGTTAGCGTTTTTTTAGCGAGTTAGCTTTTCTACGGGATGGGGTCGCTAACCCCATGCCCAACCCTCCTCCTTTACCCGGGCTTGGGACCGGCAGTAACTCTAGAAGAGCTACAGGCGGAGTTTGAGGTTCCAGAGACCAACTATTATGGAGCCATATGGATGAGTTCCTCTACCTTATGCATTACGATTTTGGAACCTTTGAAATTTTTTTTGAACCCTGACAAGTTTTTAGACCATATAAAAGAAGTGTATCCACTTTAATTCTTTGGTTTTGTATAATATATTTTGACTATATAGTGACTGTTTACTGATTGGCTAGCATTTCTCAAGGTCACTCAAGATTCGTTCAAAGGTTGTCCATAAGTTATAGTCTCACCGTTTCTAGTACACACTGCTTAAGAGTTTCTAAGAAATAAAATATCATCAAACTCACACTTTTCTTCCGATTCATCTATAGTGAATTCACAAAAGTTATTCAATAATGGAATATTTCAGTTATAGTTGGATAATCATAAGAAGATACATTTAGTATTGAGAGTCAGTGATGACTATTCTACTGCATCACTAGGGTAAATGTAATATGTTCAACATAAATAGCGATACAGTACAGTTGTTCTATGAAATGAGTACCAAATATCTCAAAGTTTATCATCTAAAAGACCTACGTAACTGAATTTTAGTACTTGAAAACTTTCAATCTGTCCTTTATCTGTCTATCCATTAATATACAGGAGAGAGTTTGTCTCTATCTAGTCTAAGGCCTTGATACCATAAGCCTACTGGTTTAAACTCGAGACTACAATACGTGAGACTAACGACCTAGGCAGAGATATGAAAACTATGATATCACCTGATTATGTGACATGGAAGAGAGAAGAGGTGTCAACTGGAACACCACTCAACTTATTCCCGATTCCTGATTCATATCAGTGTAAATAGATACATGAGTAAATAGATGACTAACACTACTACAACGCATAAACGATCAGAGAAATACAATTATATTTACACTGGGCATTAGAGTAGGTGAATTGAGTACGAGAGTTTATATTTAAATTACAATATCTTTGGAACGGAAAAGGGCATGTTAGTGAATCATGCATCAAACGAAAGCTTATGGTTTACAGAATAAACTGTGGACTAATCTAAATGTTAGTATTTTACAAACTCTGAATTAAGTGAAATAATGTCCCTGTATGTATCTTCCGTTGTTTATCATAACTTCCTTGTTTCTTTGTTCACATCACAGTCGTAAGTGAATCTGTAAACTTTAGGAAAATTTTTAAGTTCGATTAGTATTTCCTCAAAGAATGAAATGGTGACGACTTTTCATACACCAGTAAATGAGGCGGTTCTTAATCACAAATATGACATTATTTCTTCATAAAATGTTTTCCTTCCCTTTGTCTCCGTAATATAGGCAAAGTCGATGGTCTTGTTGGCGCATTCGACAATTCTGACTGGAGTCCAGGTGCGATAACTAAAGCATTTTATGTTGGATTATTTGCATATTCTGGTTGGAATTACTTAAATTGTATGATTGAAGAAATGAATAATCCTCGACGTGATTTACCATTGGCTATAATTATTTCTTGTCTTCTCGTAACATTCATATACACCATGGCTAATGTAGCCTATGTGACAGTAGTCTCACCTCATGAAATACTTACTACACCAGCTGTAGCCATTGTAAGTTGTAATCAGGAATAATATTAGACTGTCCATTATTCATCTGTTCTGCTTATTTGTTTGGTCACTGTTTTCTTAACTTTTGAATAACATAAAATGTTTTAAATTCACTCGGTATTGTTTGCTTGAATCTTCCCATTGATGTTTAGAACTGCAACTGGTAAGTCTCTTAATGGCAAATGTGCATACTGTGCATATTGCCTTAAATCACAAGCATTATAAGCAATGATGGATAGTGGCTAGCAGTGGAATTCAGTTTGACGCGCGTTTCGTCCTACTTGAGATTCGTCAGCTGAATGTACCTGTATTCCAGATTTGATGTTGACCCAGTACCTATCGCTTCAAAGATAGGATGAAACGCGCTTCCTGGATTCCACTGCTAGCCACTATCCATCTTTGCTTATAAAATGTATTGTTTTGAAGTCAACCGGAGATTTAATCCTAAATATAATCAAAGTTATCGAATTAAGTTTATCCGTCAAGTAGTCAAATAGTCTATTGTACAAGGTATTTTATTCGTTGTCAAATTTCAACCTCTATTATTTGATAGCCAATAGGACTGTGTTTTATAATTGTTAATTTAAAGGTTATATACATCTGAACTAAAACAAATGATCAGAAGGGTTTTTGTGTAGATTTCAGTATTTGCATAGTTGAAATCACGGGTCAATTGAAGCTAGACCATCATGATTCCAACTATGAAAATACTGAAATCTCCACAAAACCCCTTCTGATTATAATCATATGCTCACTAGTCACTGACTTCAAGAGATATTTCCTTGAGTTCTAATGGGAAGCAGTGACCAGTGGAGTTCAACCACATCTGTTGTGAGATATCAACTCACTGAAGACAATTGGTGAATGGTTGCTCAAAATCGTGGATTGTTTGAAGTTAGACATTAACACCGTTGGATGAAGGCCGGCTCAATGGTCTATCGGTTAAGTGCTCTGGCGCGAGACTGGTAGGTTTTGGAATCGAATCTCGGGAGTGCGGGATCGTGGATACGCACTGCCACTGAGGAGTCCCATAATACGACGTAACGGCCATCCAGTGCGTCCAGGTTTTCTTTCGTGGTCTAGCTTCAACTGACTCATGATTTCAAATATGATAAAACAAATGCGATTCAAATGTCTTAGTATTTTATACCATTCTACAAAGAATTACTTCATGAAGTATAGATAAGTGTACAGTACTGAAATTCTAAGAGGACTTGGAAGAATTACAGAATATAACAAGGCAGTTTAAAGAAGAATATCAGTGAAAGTTTCGCCATATCTTCTATTATCGATAACTTATTAATTTCTTTTTTAGTTTAGTATTTATACAAATTATCTGCTACTTTGATACAATTAATAATCTCAATAAAAGGCTATTTGAATCACCTCTAAATGGTAAAGTGATGTAGACAGGCTTTTTCCCCACCAAGGCTACAGTAGGTCTCACTGTGCCATGAACTTTCTATCTATTGATAAATTTAGCTGCATAACCATTCCCCATTAATGTCTTGTTTAACAACTTAAAATCATCATCAATAGCGTCGTTTGTGCAAATACGATCTCGCCTGTTAAATAAGCACCTCACTAAACCCCGTTTGTATTGCACAGGGCAATAACTATAGTAACTAAAGTATTGACCCGTCCACGTTGGTTTTCGAAAAATGCATCGTTTGATTGAGCCATCTTCTCGTCTGCTTAGAAGTATGTCTAGGAAGGGAAGTTGGTCGTTCTTCTCCTCTTCGCATGAGAGATTGATATGGTTTAGGATAGTGTTAAATTTATTCAATAAACATTTTATATCTTTCTTTCTTTCTTTCACAGATTACTAAGATATCGTCCACATATCTCTTATAAAGTGACAATTAATAATCTAGTTTTAAAAAAGTTGATGAAGGTATACTTCAACAAATTTTCTCCTTTTGTTTACTCCATAGACATTTTCTGTAAGAATTTATGGAGTAATGTGGTGGATTATGCCTATATTTGTTGCATTATCTACATTTGGTGGTGTCAATGGTACAGTAATGACAACATCACGAATGTTTTTTGTTGCAAGTCAAGTAAATCAAATGCCAAAATTATTATGCTTTTTACATATGGATAGAATGACACCAATTTCCGCTGTTGTATTTACAGTGAGTTTGTGATTATTTGAAATGTTCATTCATTTTCATGCTATTGTTTCATAAGCCACATATCACTTGTTGGATAGGATTTGACAAACCATAAGGATAGTCAATAATTCACTGAGTATCACTTGCCTGAATATTCCCCCTGATGTGTTAGGACTGCAACTGGTCAGTCTCTTATTGGTAAATGTGCATACTGTGTGTATTGCCTCGATACAGCCTAAATTCACAAGCATTGTAAACAAAGATGGATAGTGGGTGGCAACGGGAAGATTCAAACAAACAATATTAAGTGAATTTGAACTTCACCTCATTGCACAAACAAGTGGCTATCAGGACTCAGTGGCCGAGTGGATAACGCTATGGCTTTTGTAGCGAAAGTTACTGGGTTCGAGTCTCAGGGTGAATATCAACTCTGAGATGCAGGTACATCCAGCTGACGAGTCCCAAATAGTACGAAACGTGCTTCCTAGATTCCACTGCTGGCCACTATCCATCTTTGCTTACGATAGTCATTAATGTTTATTATTTATGGTTAATTCATTAATAATGGTACTATAATAATTCAAATAAATTATATCAGTGATTAAATGCCGCTTTCAATCATTTGTCGAAACTAATGATTAACGTTTTTCCTCGTTTTATGCATGAAGTCCAGAACAGTCGTTCATTGTTTTGTCAAATAACAGACGAATTGACAACCATTATCAACCACTGTTTAATGTGTCTGTTTGAATTCGCAGTAGACTGGAAGCTCTCAGATTACAGTCAGAGTTGATCATAATAAATCTAAAACAACTGTTTCGCATTGCTTTTTGACTCAGTATTACATTACAAGTGCTATAACATTAGGCTTGTAAGTCAGAATCTAAAAGAACCCAATGAAATAGACCCAGAGTTATAAGTGTGCTTTGGTAGAGTCCGGTCAGCGCTAAAGACTAAACAGACATAAAATTTCTGACGTCACGCCTTGTTAGCTTGTACCTCAAGTCGAGCTCAGTTTACTCGCGACTAAATCCAACCACTTAAGCTCAATATAAAAAACTCTCAAGCTAGAATAAAATGATCATTCAGAACTCTCTTATTGGTGTAAGCTAATGATGAAAACTGACTCCAAAATGAACAATTTTTATAAAATGTGAAGGGGTTTTGTGGAGATTTCAGTGTTTTTTTGAAAGTTGAAATCATGAGTCAATTGAAGCTAGACCACCATGGGAAACCTGGAAGCACTGGACGGCCGTTTCGTCCTATTGTGGGACTCCTCAGTGGCAGTGCGCATCCACGATCCCGTACTCGCGAGGTTCGAACTCAGAACCTACCAGTCTCGACCCAAAGCCGTTAACCGATAGACCATCAGTAGTATAACTGACGGATGTACAAAATATCTGACTTAATTGATTACTGTTTATCAAAACTATATCATTATTAAACTTTCTGCTTTCCTCTCTTTCTTTTTTAATCTCCATCATTAATTTAGTGTATAACATCAATATGTTATCTATTTGTTGGTGATATTTATTCATTAATAACATATCTTGGCTTTGTACAATGGCTTGCAATTGGTGTATGTGTATCCATTGTAATAGTATTTAGAATAACTAAACGAAATCATCCACGTCCTGTGAAAGTACGTTATTTTTTAAAAAACAGCTTCTCATTTATTATGAACAACTCCCCTATAGCTGATACATTCAGAATGAAATTTTTTTCAGGATACTAATATAATGAACTCTTCAAAGTATCAACAAAAGATTTTGATATTAAAGGGTGTCTTGTGATAAAATTCAATTTCCTACATCTTGATCCCGGAAGTCTACCTTCACATATTTATGTTTTAATGGTTGGTTCATGAATCTTTTTACGGCATCATCTCATATAAGCAGTTTTTAACTATATAAATAAATAGATCGTGATTTTTAGAATGTATCATATAACACTATGATATTACCATCGTTGTGTATTATTACCGTTGTTTACTAAGCGATTAGTTTGTATAATTCTTAGATCAAGGTAGCTAAATAACTCTATTTCAAGTTTATAGATCCTAGGTAAAAGATGTTCAATGAATGTAGAGTGGTGGTTTATTGATTAGACCATTCGAATTTCGGGCATTAAGTCTCACGTTTAAAACCCATTCTATCTTCTTCGATATAAGCAACCGGGTAGCATCATCAGCCCTCACTATTACAGTGTGGCTCATACTCAAGTAACTGGTGAATGGGTTGACTCACTTTTCTTCATTTTCGCATAATCTAATTATTTTGTTTATTTGTGCCTATGTTTAAGTGAATATGTACTGGTAACTACAAGAATACGATAGGAAATATTTTCAGAACATAATATCTTTTAAGGTTTTTTTATATAGAACTATCAAAAAAAAATTCAGTGATAAACCAAACACTCATTTATAGCCTCTAACAGGGTAGTCCTACTCACTGCCTTCTCGTGGCACCGGTGTTGTTTACGAAATCGAGAGGACGAAAAGCGAATGTCCGGAGCTTTAGCCGGGTTGGTGGACGCGGTGCGTTCACCTAGGGGAGTTGGTTAACCCTGGTCACAAACCAATGGTGAACATGGGCTCCAGTATCCTGAAGGAACGAATGGCCTATGAATCAATCGTTGGTCACCGGTTACCATGGGACTGCATCTCCTCACAGTTCTCCACTGCCTTGTGGATCAGATCTTTAGGTCAACGGCCCCGGTTGTGGCCCCCTAAGGAAACCACCTGCTTCAGTTTGGGCACCTGAGCAGTATCATATCCCTCACACAAATCAAATGAGATTTGTGTGGTGCATATGTATCTGGTACCCCTTTGTACCAATATTTATGTGTTGAAATAAATAAATAAATAATCTTGCTTATTTAATTACACTTATAAAGGAAGAATTATTCATAAACAATCCGATAGGTGGTTTTTTTTTTGTTGAATTCCTCAACTTCATTTTAATTTGATTATTGTACAATATTACAACATGTATACTAATCAATATTGTTGTTATTTTATTTTATTCATTTAGGCACCAATTTTATTCGCAATAATTTATGTGCTCATTACTTTATTCTTAGTGATATTTGCATTTGTTGCTGCCCCAGTTGAATCATGTAAGAGAAAGAAAATTTTTTAAAGTTTTTATTAGAAAGTATTATAAGAAAATGTTTTCTAATATTATTCACTTGGTAACGTATATTCACTTGAATAATCATTTCATAAAATTACAAACTTATTTTATATTTTCATAGTTGAAAGCATAAGTCAATTGAAGCTAAACTACGAAGGAAAACCTGGAAGCACTGGGCAATAATTTCGTCCTATTGTGGGACTCCTCAGCAATTCGCATCCACGACCTCGCCTTGCGAGATTTGAACCCAGGACGAAACGGTTGTCCAGTGCTTCCAGGCTTTCCTTAGTGGTCTAGCTTCAATTGACTCATGCTTCCAACTATGAAAATACTAAATCTCCTCAGAACCCCTTCTGATTATAACTTATTTAAGTCGTTGCTAACCTTATCTAATCATCATGGATGATTTCATTTATATTATCCTATTTAATCTTCAACGGTGATAGAATTATTTAGGTTGAATCTATGAGAGTGTGAATTTTTTAAAAGTTGAAGATATGAATATATGAATGATTATCATATCACTATAGTTTAATGAACATATTCAAATTTTATATAGATGAAATCGTGACGCTAGACCACCATGGAAAACCTGGAACCACTGGACGGCCATTTCGTCCTGTTGTGGGACTCCTCAGCAGTGCGCATCGTCGATCGGTTGAAGTAAGACATTAAAAACGTTGGATGCCGGCCGGCTAAGTGGTCTAGTGGTTTAGCGCTCGCATACGAGACTGATAGGTCCTCGGTTCGAATCTTGCGAGGCGGGATCATGGATACGCACTGCTGAGGATTTCCACAATAGGACAAAACGGCCATCCAGTGCTTCCAGGTTTTTCATAGTAGTCTAGCTTCAAGTGACTCATGAATTTAGCTATATAAAATTACTAAAATATTCACAAAACTCTCTTCTAATACTCAAATTGGACGATATCTGACAGATAAACACTATGAAATGAGTGTCAATATTGTGTTTTTCATACGAACAACGGTGAATTATATATATTTTAGATAATGATTTGTTATTAATTGTACAGATAACATACAGGAAAGATTATAGAATTGGTTAGAAAAAAAACCTTGTAAATCGTATATCAACAGTTCTTTCCTTTTATTTATCACTTACCTTTTTTTCATTGTTTATTTACTTCTGCAGTGCTTGGTGTAGCCATTATTTGTACTGGGATACCAGTTTATATTATTGGCTGTGCATGGAAGAACAAACCGAAATCATTTCAAAGAAAATTTGGTAAATATTCTCTGTAAATTATATATTGAATTATTGTTTACTTTTGGTTAGTTTTGTCTCATTTTCTATTTTCTATCTTCATTGAAATTACCGGCGAGACTATAATTTATGGATTAGCCAATCAGAAGTGTTTGAGGGATTTCAAGGTCATGGCGCCGAGTTCAATACCTCATGCTCATGTACTATCGGTTCACAAAGAATTTAATAGAAGACTTGACAATTAAGTGGCTACAACAAATGAGACTATTAAGAAGTTCCTGTATTTGTGATTACGAGTATTAAATGACTTGTAGACTTTTTGCAGCCTAACGTGATGTTAACCTTCGATGTAATATATGTTGAAGGAAGACGTTTGCTAGAATAAGAATCTTTATTGCTCTATCCAGATTGAGAATCAGACATATTATAATAATCGCCGCCAACTGTATAATAAAAGCACCAGTAACATTGGTTACAATGATCGCAGATGTTACTGAAGCTTCGGCTGTTCAGTGGTATGAGTATTGTAGGGACATATCCATAATAAAAATGATAAAATTACACAACCGTTGTACACACAAACAATAATGAAGCTATGTGGTCGAGGCTGAGGTTCCAGACACCAACTATTATGGAGCCATATGGATGAGTTCCTCTACCTTATGCATTACGATTTTGGAACCTTTGAAAATTTTTTTAAACCCTGACAAGTTTTTAGACCATATAAAAGAAGTGTACCCACTTTAATTCTTTGGTATTGTATAATATATTTTGACTCTATGGCGACTGTTTACTGATTGGCTAATATTTCTCAAGGCCACATTAGATTCGTTTGAAGGTTGTCCATAAATTATAGTCTCGCCAAATTACTTTTACTAAGTTGAGGAAGATCCTTAAACTTTCTCCATTATTAAGAAGCATTTTGTTTATATTATCGTAATTTTAACGTGAATACTTTTCATCATAGCCTTTTTTGACATAGTAAGAACCTTGGAAAGTGTTCTTAATAAATATTCAATATACTATTAAACATGTTTCTTTATTTTACAACAATCAATCATTGTTTACTAAAGTTTTATATGATAAAGATCTCTGTCCACTTTTTGACAGTAGTACTTGACTTTCAATGTATTTGACTTTAGAATTATATGTTGGTTAATCATATTATCTAGTCGTCAGCCTCAAGTGAATTCTAATGATCATCAGTCTAAACGATTGGGCATCATGGTGCAATTTGTATGATGTTGTGATTGACTAGAGACAGCCTGAAACCTTACATATAGACAGAAAGCTTGGATGACTCTCCCTGTGGCTCTAAGTGACATAGTCTAAAGTGGCGAAAGAGACATTAGTTCTTCCAAGATTTCGTATGTGCTTTATTGACAATTAAGGACTGATTTCTCAGGCCAATTAACTCATTAACTGTTGTTCACACTTTTGCAGCATAGAAAGGAACACATTGTTTTTTATATTGAATTTAGTTTGTCAGTCAGTCAGTCCTAACGTAGAACTTCGTACGTACATACATCAGTTCGAGTTGCCAAACAACATTAGCACAGAGATGCAGTTGTCCATTATAATCCCATAGTGGTAGACGTAGTAAGAGTATAAGCATTAATTTGAAAGATGAGGGTTTGAAGATGTTATTCAAGGAATACAATTCAAAGAAATAAATTTGGAAAGAGAAAAAAATAGAGACATGATGAATTCAGAAGATTAGAATTTGGCAGAACCCAGAGAGTGGATGCACCTTCGTCATTGCAAACCATTTTGAGCCATGTCATTTAGGGTCTCTAACCATCAATTGCTATTATCTCGCGGATCCCAACCAGGTAGTCTACACCTACCAGCATGGCTCAGTCCAATTGTCAGTGACTTCATAGATTTGTGCCATGTTTTTGTCTGGCCGCCCCTAGCTTTCTTCCAACCTACTCCTACACCATAAAGCATTGCACGTCGGAGCAGTCGGTGGTTGGGCATACGTAACAAGTGTGTCCCAGCCATCTCAACTGATGAAGTTTCACTACTTCATCAATCGATTTGCCATCTTTACCTAGTAACCGATTCATAACATCTGCATTACTTACCCGGTGGTCCCAGGATATACGAGCAATTCTTCGAAGGCACCTATGATCGAATACTAGTAGCCTACGAATATCCTCTACTCTTATTGGCCATGTTTCACTACCATAAAGTAGGACGGAGCGAACTGCTGCACAGTAAACCCGTCCTTTGGTTGCTAGACGGATATCTCGCCTACGCCATAAATGACGCAAGTTGGTGAAAGCTAGACGAGCCTTCTGTATCCGTGCTGAGATTTCGTCACACTCCAGACCACTAGGGCTGATGAGATTCCCAAGATAAGTGAAGCGGTCAACAGGCTCAACTACTTCAATCCCTATCATTCATTCAGGCGCCGATGCAACCCAATCCTGAAGTAACATTTTGCACTTCGAGGGGGAGAATCGCATCCCGAACATGCCTACATAATTGCTTATGGTGGTCAGAAGACTCTGCATTTTGTCAGCGTCTTCACCAAATAGAACTATCTCATCGACGTATTTTAAGTCAACAAGTTTGCCTCCCGGTAAAAGTTCAATTCCTGGAGATTTAGATGATCGTTATGCTATAATATTTAAACTTAATTGTGAATTTACTCTTTTGAATAGTTTCTGATGTAACATTTATACTAAAGATCTTAATGTATATTATTGGAAAGATGTAATCATATGTACCTACTCTTATTTGTTTACTTTATTTTTCTTTCAGAATCATTTACTATTGGAGTACAGAAATTATTTAAACTTGTACCATCGAATTAATTGGTTAACTGAATTCATTTAATAATGTTTCTACCGTTTTTCTTAGTATTGACTACTACTACTACTACTAATACAATCAGTTTTAGTCTTGTTAGTAGTGTCATGGCTAATAGAAAAAAAACGTGGTAGTCTTAGTAGTAGTAGTATGGTGTCATTCCGTTTAAACAAACTCTTTCTACAGGAGTTATAGCAGTAGCAGTAGAATAATTAATATAATTCAAACTGTAGTAAACCATTAAACAGTATAGCATCATCATAGTCATAGCATCATCATCATCATTGCAGTCAAGACATATGTATTTATGTTTGGAATCTTCGCTTTTATTTTTACACCTTACTCGCTATTTTTTCCCCATTGTTATTACATCATGTTTTACCCAATCATAGAATAGCTCCTGATGATGAATAGACATTGAATTCACAATATAGATGAGAATTCTTCTTTTATCTCCCTCCCCCCTCTCTCTCTCTCTATATATATATATATATCTATTACTCCCATTCTAAATCACAGAACCTTTCTAGTTTCCTTGATTACACTCCTTATTTTCATTGCACATAGGATTATCTTAAACCTATACAATCGATATAATCAATTTTTTTTAATAAAAAAAAAGTTTGATATTGCATACTTCATATCTTATTTTGGTTTTATGTACCCTATGCTTCATCTTTTTGTTTTGTAAAAAAGAAAATTAATATCTAGGAACCAAATAAATTGATTTTTATAAGTATGATTCTATTTTCTTTCCCTGTTTACAAATTATTGATTATTGTTTTTATGTATCCAATTGTATGAAAGTGATGATTCATGTGTCATGTAACCATTCGATAATTTATAATAGGATAAAAAGAAAAAAAAAGAAACATTTGTAAATGATCAGTTACATTTTGATGTGGGTTTATTCTCTAAACTGAATGGTTTAGTTGTGGAGCTTTCATTGTCCTTCTGAACGACATCATCAGCAGCACAAACTTCGGATAGAAGTCTACCCGAACAAACTCGCATTAAAATCACCTACCTCAGCTACAAATCTTCTTCATCATCTCAAAACCAGTTACATTTTCCCTATTTTTTTTATGGATTACTCTCTATTTCCCCTTTTCATTTTACAAAAAAACAAACACAATGATTAATAATCGATGATCAAGTGTAGTAGTTCTTTGATTTCAACAACAGATTATATGAATTAGGTTTATTTAGCTAGAGTAAGAGTAGGTTGAAAGGAAACCAGCTGCGGTCAAACCAAGACTTGGTATCAGTCTACATAGTTCAATAATTGTTAAATCATACCACACTGATAGGTTCAATGCACCTGGTTGGAGTTACTGTGGTCATTTTGATCAAAGATTGTTGGCTCGGAATGGATTACAGTGGAACAGACACACCGACTCTTTGTCTCTCTTGAAACCTTAAGTATCAGTATTCTTTCATTTCTTCTACTATCTCCACTTATTTATTATGTACCTCGGTTACTTCATTTTTCTGAGATGCTGATGTATGGTATATTGGGATAAATCCCGTTTGTTCCTGACTTTACGTTGATTATAACTGATCGACTATATTGAGTAATATCAATCAAAACCAAATACAACTGCTTATTCTAGCGCCTTTATTTTAACTGATACACAGGAGTAATACGAAGCGAAACTTGATATGAGAATGCAATGAATTGTTACTTCATACACACTCCACTTTTTAAATATACGTTTTTGATTAGTCTGAAATTGCGTAGAATACTTTTCGACTGACTTACACAAAATGATCCATTTACAGAACAAAATCCTTATTAAAATTACTCGGATCGTGTTAATCCTTGAATACAGTTTTAAAGTAAGGAAATAATCTAGAATGTTGATTTCTAACTTGGTCAGCTTTACTTAAAAAGACTAAGAACTACTGAAAAGCATTATTTGGTAGAGTGACCGATTACGGAGTCATACTCAGCATATTAAGTTTTCCTCATTGTAGAATATTTTCATTTTTCACATTGTAGTTTAATTATTGAACACTATCCTCAGCGACTTTATCTCAGCTTGGCTGAAGTCAACAAATATATTACTAAACTTCAATGAGCTATTTCGATGGTAACTCCGTTAAAATAATCCAGTGTGATTAAAGTTCCCAGGTCAATTTTTCCTCATGTTTGACACGTCAGCGCTCTGTTTGTTGCATTGTTCACCACTAAATAAATTGTATCAAGATCTGTAGGAGAGAAACCAGCTTCCAAATGAAGCGGAAATTAGAAAAAGACGTTGAAAGTGAATAAGACAAACATTGAGAAAATCACCAAACTGCATCACAAGGCAAGCAATAAGTTGGAATCCTGAAGGGAAACGGAAAAGAGGGAGGCTAAGGAACACATTTTGTTGAGAATCGAAATCAAACATGATTATATAGCCGGCCTAATGTAAGACTTTAGTCAATAATAACGTCTAGGAAAGTATTAATTACTTAACCGTAACGAGGAAATCTGAGATCCATAAGACAATGATTATGGGGATTCATGACTCACAAAATATAATTGTAGGTGCTAATTCGACGGTGTTCGTGGGAATATAGTACAAATTCATAAATCATATAATAGTGGATCAATTTTCCGACTTTTAATTCAAAAGATTACAAACTGTATGTAAAATAAATAATATTGGCATCAACTATGGTAAAACAATCGGGCAAAGAAAAAAGGCTGTTTAAACTGAACATGTGAAGTGGAATATCTAACTTTTATAGAATAAAATGTAATCGTAAACTAGAGAAATGAAATCTGAAGTGTCAACTAAGACACCTAACTATTGGTTGCGCGATCAGGTAAACTGGGTTGAGTGATATGGTTAAAAATCGAAAGTTAATGACATCTTGAACTATTGAAACATTTTTATTGTGGATTTACATGGAAAGAAACGTTTGCGTTGCTATTCAAGTGGCTGAAGTCTATCAATGTCTTTACCCTATAAAACTATATTAATTACGTATTTGAATTTGATAAGTGAATATTCTGATAGGTGAGCGATCTCTTAAAGTAAAACCAATAAAATATTACAATTACAAGACTATCAATGACGAAATTAAATACAACAATGAAAGTAGCAGCTTTGAGGACTCTAGGGCACGCATAACAGTTCACTGAAACCCCTAATTCTATCAAAATTTTTTGTTTAAAAATACCCTCAGAATAGTTATGCACGTTTTGGACATTGAGATGGTGGAGAAAATTTGTAGGCTCAAGTGGATGATTTGGATAGAGTTTCATTCTCTGAGATGAATAGTTTGGTCATGGAGCTTTCATAGTTCTTCCGAACGACAGCACAAACTTCAGGTAGAAGTGAAGTGTTCGAATTTCTCCACATATGGCTTACAGCTTGTCATGTACACCTCAATGTTGATTAGTTTTTGTTGACTGACCTTAAACCTGTTATTGTTTACTTCTTTATTTTGGTTGTATTTTTCATTGGTTTGATTTTCGTTCCTATGTTTGTCCATAATTTTTCTGATTGGTTGATAAATCAGATCAATTTTAATGTTCTTGTTGATTGCTGATTGACCTGAGCGCTAAGCTTCTAAAAATTCTCTGGTGTTTTTAGAATTGCCTCTGTTCCAACCGAATATGTGTACACAGTTGTCCACATGGAAGTTTTGGGTATGCTAAACACTTTCATAGAACTTATATCTGTTGACTTTCTTTATCAGAGTAAGAAATGTGAATACTATTCAAACATTGGTAGAAAAAAAGTTTGATTTTGTTCTAAAAACTTGTATCACCAGAAATATGGTCAGAATTGTAATCTACTTGGTTTTCTTAGGGGTTAAGCATTGTAGTCTAAAATGTTTTATATATGTGTTGTATACAATGTTATATACCTGTCATTAAATAAAAACAGTCAAATCATAGTATAAGAACGGGGTTCTTGTGGAGATTTTAGTAATTTTATATAGTTGAAATCATGAGTCAATTAAAGCTAGACTACCATGGGAAACTTGGAAGCACTGAACGACCGTTTCGTCCTATTGTGAGACTCCTCAACAGTATGAATCGTGGATTGGTTGAAGTTAGACATAAACACCGTTGGATGCCGTCCGGCTCAGTGGTCTAATGGTTAAGCACTCACGCTTAAGCCTGATATGTCCTGGAATCAAATCTCGCGAGGCGGGATCGTGGATGCTGAGGAGTCCTACAATGGGACGAAACGGCTGTCCAGTGCTTCCAGGTTTTCCATGATGCTCTGGCTTCAATTGACTCATGATTTCAACCATAAAATCACAGTATAAATCATATTACGATTGAGTATAAATATTTTTATTCAAAGAAATATGATTTACATCTAAACAACTCAACTATTTGAGTAATGATATAGATTAGCGTTAATATTATTAACCTATTTATAGGCAACATATAGATATAAAATTTCTATTTATTATTACATTAAAATTCCTCTTAACTACAATTCAATATAAACCAATCATAAAAATCCTGATGAAATTTTTACATTGTCTAGTAGTTTAAAGGAAATGATGAAATTGTAATGCCTACCGAAAATTGGTTATATGCGTAGGTGTCAGTCCATTTTTATATGATAATCATATGTTTACATTAATAATAAAGCAAGTAAAAAGAAACTTAGGGTAAAGGTAAAGTAATTGAAATAAAAGAAGCAGATTGCCTGAATTCGCCACATCTATGTGTATTTACTAATTCAACTGCTCCTGTGGAACCAGTTATAAAAGGGTGTACAATTCAGCAACTTCGTTAACGAATAAAACAACACCATCCGTCGTGGTTGAACAAAGGACAGATAAAAGTGATTAAGAGTTCAATTCTCTTTCATTTGGTGGACACAGTTCATCAAGTTGAAATGAATAAAACTTTTAAGGTTATCCACCATATTCTATGAAATTTGCTGCATAGTTCAGGAGTTTGTTTTTTGCACATTGGTGAAGCCATCGCAAACCATGTTCACAAACTGAACCTTTGTATCCAAAAAAAAGTTTGTACAACCACTCACTCTACGAAAATACTTAGGATCCGTTGGCCAGACACTATCAGCAACAAGCTACTGTGGGAGACAACAAACCAGATTCCATCCAGTGGAGGAAAAAATCAAGAAGAAGCTCTGGAAGTGGATAGGACACACTTTGAGGAAATCACCCGACTGCGTCACAAGACAAGTCCTCCCATGTAATCTTGAAAGCCAAAGGATAAGAGGAAGACCAAAGAACACATTATGACGAGAAATGGAGACAGACATGAGAAGAATGAACAAAAACTGGATAGAACTAGAAAAGAAGGCCCAGTATAGAGTGTTTTGGAGAATACTGGTCGGCGGCCTATGCTCCATTGAGAGTAAAAAGCGTAAGTAAGTGAGAAATTTATAAGTATGCATCCAATTACAACCACATTCACTTGAGAATCTGTGAGTTAGGTGGATTTTGTATAGAATGTTTGAATTGTAACAACCAACAAGGATTTCATTCAGATGATAATGGAATGTAGTCAGTATGAGGATATAATAAATGAAGTACTTTCTCTGTTATTATCCGTTTTCCCCCATGTTATGACTTTGTTCACAATATCTGTGTTTACAATAACATAAGATGAGAAGATTCAAACATGGGAAGATTGAAATAAACAATACTAAGTGAATTTAAAATTCACCTCATTGCACAAGCAAGTGGCTATCAGGACTCAGTGGCCGAGTGGATAATGCGATGGCGTTGGAAACAAAAGGTACTGGGTTCAAGTAGTGGAGTGAACATCAACTCTGAGATGCAGATACATTCAGCTGACGAGTGCCAAAGAGAAAGAAACGAGCGTCCTGGATTCCACTGCTAGTCACTATCCATCTTTGC